TTTCCCTTTACATGGTAAACCCAAAGTGATCCGTGGTGACTGGCTGTATTATATTATGTGATAAAGCAGAAAAAACAGTACTAAACAGTTGTTCTTCCGAAATGTTTTGAATGTGTGATACAGTCTTTATAGGATCCCACATGAAAAACTGTGTGTTTAAAGATAATTCCTTATTAGAATACGATTCCCTGTTACAGATGCAATTATATCATAGTATAAAATGACAATGAAATATTTTTCAAGTTGATAAGGATTATAAAACCTGAAAACAGTTAAGAACGAGGACATTTAAGAATTGCTTATTTGTAAACCTTAGAAATACTGATAGAAAGAAGGTAACTTATTTAAATCTTAAGTATACATGCAGTTACTCATGCAAGAAAGCAAAATACATAAGCTACTGAAAACTTACATATACAGTAAAACATTTTTGTACCAAAGAAGCAAAATATGAAGCGGATACGAAGAGACTTCTGTTGACAGAATGAGAAAATAATCTTAAGAAAAAGTCTATTGCTTAATAAGCAAACTGTGCGAGCCACCTAAAAGCAGGAAATTGATAATTTATTTAATCATTGGTATGATGAATTAAAAGGACATATACATGAGGAGAAGTGTGTTCTATTAACTTAGTATATTTATATCTAGTTATGCAAACTTGCAAGCCATATTTAAATCACTTTTTTATATGGAAAAATTTAAAATGCATCAATATAACATGAAAAGAGAATATTTTTGTTTCAATGAACTGTAATAAGCAAATTTTAATAATTTTTCGTAAATGCTTCAGTATTTTGCTAAATCTTTTAAAATTACATTCCAATGAGCAGACCTCTGCAGTGTTTGTAACAGTTAGGATAATCGAATTCAGTACATAGTAACTTCAGTAAAAATTCAGACAGCAGATTTAAGTTTTTCAGTAATAGAAACTGTCCACGGCAGTATTTGTTTTGTGAGCTTGTACTATATCCAATTTATTTTGATGAAGTAAATCTTTTAAAGAAAACAAATACGTAGCATTCAAGTTTGGTTTATGATGTAACGGTATTTCAAAAATATCGATGCAATTTTAAACAGGAATATTAGAGACGGAAAGTTATAGTGAAAAAGAGCATATATACATTGATAGACAAAATTAAGAGATGGAAAACATTTTCCCACATATCTCCTAAAATTCCACACAAAACCTGAGCAGTTGGTTGCCATATAATGTCACTGCGGCGTTGGTGTAGCTCGGTTGAGTTTACGTATTTCTGTACGCCAGCAGAATGTACAAAAAGTTCGCGTCCAGCTGCTCAGCTCATTCCGCTCTGTAACATAGTAGTGATTTTTATTATCTTTCTTGAATAATCTTGTTGTTTTTGCTGTGTTTTGTATGAAATGAGTACACATCATCGCGTAGACTAACGTATGAGATGGAATATCTTGGGTAGGTTCCAGGCAGGGAAGTCCTAAACTCAGGTTGCAAGAAAGCTGGATGTAACACCAAGTGTCATCTGTAATTTGTGGAAACAGTTTAAAAACAAGACCAGAAGAAGATCGCCTGAGAGCCACAACGACCAATGAAAACGGGTACTTTGTATTTTCAGCCAAAAGACGCTTACAGCCACACAAGTGTTTCGTGACCTCGTTACTACCAGAATAACGTCAGTTTCAAGGTGGAAAGTTGCTAGAAGGTTTTACGAGGTAGGACTGTATGCCAGAAAGCCCGCTAATTGCAACCCACTCACTCACTCACAGAAAAGATAGCGTTTACAATGGTGCATACAATACTAACACTGGAAACAGCTTCAATGGGCTAATGTTCTCATCGCGGATGAGTTCAGATTCAGTCTACAACCTGATTCTCGGCGATTATTGATATGGAGCTAATCTGAGACCCCTACCATCCCAGCAACATCATGGAAATTGATAAATATGGTGGTGAAGGAGTGATGATCTTGGCAGGGATAATGAAAGATACCCGCACACCGCCTCCCTGTGTTTTTCACTGGTTTTATGAATACCCAGAGGTACAGGCAAGAAAAAAAAACTTAGAGCCATATGTGCAACCTTTCAAGGGTATTGTTGACCCTGAGTTCATTTTTATGGACGACGATTCACAACCACATAGGGCCCATCTGGTTGATGACTATCTGGAAAACGAAAATATTCTCCGAATAGATGGGCTAGCCAAATCTCTTGACCTTAATCCTATTGAACATGCTTAGGATGCTCTTGGGAGAGCTATCGCAATACGCCAAACGCCACACAAAATTATTCAGTAGTTAAAAAACTTCTCTGGTGGAGGAATGGGTACGACGTCTACCAATATTCCTGAACTCTCTTATTAACAGCCTGGCTACTCGTTGTGCTTGCTGTCTGTCAGAGGCGATCACACACCATACTAGCCACATTTTCACTGCCATCTTTGAACCTCAAGTTTGGACCTCATTGGACTCTTGGCCACAACTCATGCTAATGAATGGCCATTTCATTTTTTTACACATTATTATCATATAATAAACTACATCCATACATAATATAATTATTTCTATACAGTACTTCTTTAGATATTTGGGAAAATGTGTTCCATCCCTTAATTTTGTCCACCAGTGTAGTTCGAAAACAGCTCTTGAAAACAGCCAGTGAGAAGCAAAGGAAAAACTCATATTGAGTATAAATCAATTTTAAATTAAGAAATAAAGTAAAAACTCATAAATATGTGATTTAGGAAAAACTGGTAGATACTATCGAGATATAACGTAGTGTCAGCATATCATGCAGAAAAAGGGCATTGGCACTTCATTTTATCAGAAAAGTGTCGATACAGAATTGTTTATAGTAGTGTTGTTCTAAACTAAAAGAAAATCGTTTCAAGATAATAAAATTTTGTAATATGGGCCTAAGACATCGTTTAATAGATAAACAAAGGGGAATAGCTCTTGAAGAACTGAAAACAGCCAGACAGTATAATGTACTTTGTGATTCACAGATTTCGGAATTTAAGTTCAAAATTTTGGAGGTATGTGCGGAATATGAGTGAATGGAGATATCTATGTTCAGTTTTCTGGATGGCATACCTGCAAGATAGCTACCCCAAATCGACTACGACCTTTCTTCGCTACAGCTATCGGAATGCTCTTATGAGCTTCTCCTGCATGCAGAAAACTTCACAAATAATGACTTTATGCCAGGAAACTTCAGGTTTGTACTTTTCATCAGCTTCATGCAATAATGACGGTTTAAAACAGGTAAGGCTTCACACAGGGGGACTAAATAACTGGAGTCTATATTACTTATTGACGAACCTAGTTTGCAGAGCGATTCACACGTATTCTGATCTCGACAGGAGGCCAGAAATATTGTCATATCTAATGTACATGAAATGAATACTTAACGAGGAGCCACGTTTGGGTCTGTAACAACGTCTCCTTATATTTAAAGACAAGGCTATATGTACTATATACTAAGGAAAGCTAATGCCAGCAAATACAGATAAGACTCTAGATACACATATTTGTTATTATATGCAGATGCAACATGACATTCTTTTCTTCCCTCAGGCTGTTAGAACATTATTACAAGAGAAGAATATTAAATATATAGGATGGACAACAAAATCTCCTGATCTTAAGTCTATCGCAGCTGCTGTCTTTAGAACTTCATTGCATGTAGTAACGATTATCAAAGTGCAGTGAAACTCAAAATCTAAGACGCAGGGTTAAAAATTTAATTTTATTTTCTTACATTTACTGCCTATGACTGGTCCTTTTCTACTTTTATTTAAAAAGCAAATGTAAATAACATCTATAAAGGATAACCTGCTGATCAAAAAGGAGACAAATTCATCAGAAGCTGTGATTATTGGCAATAATTCTTCAATTTATATATTCTCCAAGAATGAGTTAAACGTGAAGGATATTTAGATGCATTTAGAATAGCTTTAAAGATTAAAAATCACTGTTTGCCACTTCTTAAACTGTTATGTAGACCGTTTTTTTTTCTTAACTTCTTTTGAAATCTTGTGTTTTTGTGAACTGTTACTCTCATATTAAACCCAAAGGAAAAACACGTTAGTTTTGAGTAATATACTCAGAAAATACAGACATATACTTCAATAATCATAACATAAATTTGAAAATAACTCTTAAATCGGTAAATGAGCTTCAGTGGAATAATAACTCTCAGCCGAAAATAAAAAAAAGCTTAAAATTTCAGTAAACTCTTTCTACGATCATTTATGGTTTCAGATGATTCTTGTGCAATATGAAAATGACCGACTTAGGGAGGTGATGCTAATTTGATGACTTGATATTCAGAAATACTGATCGCCGTTAAATATGGTCGTTTTAGAGAGGTGATCGCCATGACAGAATTTACAGTATGCACGTTCTTCTTAACGCGTTTCCACATACTTTAATGTTACCCCTTTTTATTATAATACTGTTCATCAAAATATTTATTATTATTTGAAACAGTATTATTCATACGTCTTAAAAATAATCTACATTTAAGAAAAAGCATTCTCCTGTTATTTTGTCCAGCATTTCAAATCAGAACATGAGTTTTGCCTGCTTTATGTAATTTGCAAATGAGCAAGAGCTATTTGAGAGTAATTTGTGTTTAAGAATTAAAAATGTTTTTGGAAAAACTCATGCATTAAAGAAAGATTAACCTAAGTCACAGCAGAATTAAATTCGATGTTAAAACTGATTTTAACTTTCGCTCTATCAGAAAACATTAATATATCGACTAAATTGAAACGAAATACAAATAAATAAAATAAGGATAAGGAAGGTGTTATTGTTCAAAAGGTAAAACTATTTCAACGACTATGGCTGGAATTACTGTAAAGAATGCTTTACTTTGACTGAAATAACAGTATATTAAAAGAAATACGCCGTTCTTATGATAGATCACAAATATTTACAAAATATAAGTAGCAAATTAACTCTGTGCATAGCATTTAATCTTTCACCCTGATTTCGATGACATAATACTTGAAGAACGGTTTGTACCAGGAGCATGTTGTCTGTAGAAGTTGGAGGACGCTGCTGTACTATCTGTGTAGAATCGTGCAGCCTCTTCTTAGCATCTGCATTGGGCTACAGTAGCATTAGTGAAGAAGCAGAAGCAGCAGCAGAGATGTAACAGCAAGCAGAGCAGCACAACAGGTATGTCCGAAGTAAAGAATACACAACAAAAGAAAGAAGAAAGAAAAAGGGCGAGTTAACCTTTCAGTCAGCTCTACATTCATACAAAAAAAGCTAAAGCATATGGGTAGCAGGAAAAAGATTTTATGCTTCAATTCAGCCCAATTAAAAAGCAGTGCAAGAAAATGAGACAAGTTTTAAAGAAAATTGTTATTAATAAGACTTACACGTCACTGCGCATTTTGTGTTCAGTTTTATCGAATTCATATGAATGACTAATTATCTTTAGAACACCACACATTTATTTAGACATTTTGACATTACACACAAGGAATTATTATTTCAATTCCTGAATTAATAATCAGGAAAAATACTTAAACGTACTTTAAAAGCGATATCTGTTAATAATAGTTTAGATAAGGAACCACAGATGAATAACTTAATTGAGAAAAAGTTTAGCTTTAGAAAAGGTAGCATAAAATCTTTCTCTGCTTAACGAATAGTGGATGTTTACAAGATACACATAGCTTAGATAAGTAAACCAAAGCATAATAAATAAACAATTAATTTACCTTATTCATTTCAGTTACCCTAAGTGAACAAGCTTACGCTTTTAACTCTTAATAGTGAATAACAGACTAAAATATTAAATTAAAATTTAAGGACAAATCTTTAGAGCAAACAATGAGTTATATACACACAATCATCAACCAATTAAAATTCTCTGCAGCTAGACTTAATAAAAAAGAAAAACCGAGAATTAATAATCCATCTTTAATAAATTCAATGCTGTCATAACATTTCTATAAAATAATATTACTAAAACTGGAAAGAAGTGTTTTAAAATCCGAAGCACTCAAAGTTACTAAAAAAGTTAACGATACTTATTTATTTCGGCGAAATTATGTTTTTAGTAATACGAAAGTTTGAAGATTTTTTTTTCGGAGCCTTAATTTTACATTTGATATCGGCGTGAGTTTCTTCAGGAGAAATATTGGACATTTTCTTCAAGTTATTCCAAACTTTCTTTCCAGCAATATGCAAAGCTTGTTATATATTATAAGTAAGCAAAGCTTGTTGATATAACACTATCGTTACTAGAATACAATGCTAAATACGAAAAATATAATCTGAAGATACACATTTATTAAAAACATGTGTGGTTTTTGTAGCATATAAGTTGCAATTTGAATGACAATAGTTAAATGAATTTCTATTCCTTCTAAAGAAAAAAAAAACATAATATTAACAATATTAATATTTCTATCTGTTCACAATTCTTTCTATCATTTAGAGAGTTACATGGTTTTAAAATTTTATCTCAAATTTTAACACTTTTTTTTAAATCACCTACAGAAGAAACATTAATTTTCTCAGTTTATGCATAATATATATATAACTAAAGCATTAAATACAATTTCTGTTAATGCTGCAAAGTGAAAGTGATGAAATGCAAGAACATATATTAAAGTTTTCCCAAATCCACCAATTTTATTTCGCTGTTATTAAGTAATTTGTACAAGCTGAATATAAACGCTACAAAATTGCTGAAGCATACGAATAAAGCATCTTTAGATCTTTAATTGTGTTCTCGTGATTAATAGTTATGCTTTCGTAAAGTGAGGCAATTATTTAACCGTTACAATGAAACTCGGTCTTAACTGTTAATTCAAAAAGGCCAGGTTTCTACAGCTATTCGCTATAAGCGTCATCTAGTCTAGACCATATGGACCCAAGAAGCCGAGACAGGTGCGGTCACAGCGCCTCCAATATTATCGAAAAATAGTGACAAAAATAGCTAATATGACAGACGACAGGCAGAAGGTCACTGGTCTAGCGATTTTCCACCAGGTGGAGTCCACCCGTCAATATTCGATGACGCACGCAAAGCGGGACCTTTTGGCAAACAATTCCTAAATCGAAACATTATCGTAACAGCGTCTCGTTTTGTTTTTTAACGGTGGACATAACACTGGCGCTTTTTGTAATACGTCAACTTTTCATAAATAATAATGATAATAATAATGATAATAATAATAGTAATAACAACAGCAGCTAAAAAATATTTGCATTGGTCCCATGCCAAGACAGCAGTAAAAGATAAAACACCGGTGGTGAATTAAACTAAAGAAATGCGCAATTTTTGATTATTTCATTTGAAATTTAAACTGTATTCGTTTTTTGAAAGTATTTTACAGATACAACTGATATCATAAAAAGCTTCTTCTCAGAGCTTTACCCTCTTCAGATGCGTTTAAGTTCGCCTTTATTTCATTCAAAAAGAAAGCTGACGTTAAAATTAAAGTGGGAAAGCTTTTTTTATTACATTACATTGCCGAATTTATTAAAAAATCATGAAAATGAACATATTTTTAGAAATTAAAGGAATAATTAATTTTCTTGGTTGGTCAGTTAGCTTTTCACTTATTTATTTACTAAGTAATCTATTTATTTATCAATTGATTGCAGAAGTAGCAGAAGAGCAGTTCAATGATTCAGGTATGAAGGAAAATAATTCAGTGCTTTTACTAAACATCTACTTGTAGTGCATCATCAGGTGATATTGCAACTAACCATTAATTAGGACAAAAATTTTTGTAACTAATGATTACAATTATAAAAAACCCGTAGAATTTTTTATCTTTAACTATGTAAATTAATTTATGAATAAAATAAGTTATATATTTAGATATAAATTTCAGTAAATATTAAAAGTGTAATGTTAAAATAGCAGCGAATTAATTAATTTGTCAAACAATGCCATCAACATTTATCTTCACAAAGTTAATAATTTTTATAAGCAAACTAATATTGCGCTACTGACAATAATACGGACGCACTCATTTTCTTAAAAACGGCAACCATATTTGAAACTAGATAAAAAATTGCTTATCAGACATAACTGTTATCATGCTTAAAATTACGACATTGGACATCAAGCGTAAAATGAAAGTAAATGAAGTAAATGAAAGATCTAAGAAAGTTCATATATTAATAATACTAAAACCTTACGAAAACAATTTTTTTCACAGTTCTTCATCTGATAATACAAAAATGTCAGTCTTTCGAGTCTAACTGCAGAGATTTCATATCCATATTTATTATAGCAAAAATAATAAGAAACAGAATCTGTCATTTTACAGTTGGTTATTACATTTAAGTGACTTTTTAATTCATAAGTTCATTATTTGTCAAAATATTCTACTTAAGAGTTTTTGGCACTCTTCCTTATCTGCCCGCAAATCTGGTAATAGTATTTCATTATGACTTGGCGGCCATTTTCATTCGCGAAATTCTCTTTTTGAGTCTCGCGTTGTTTTGTCTCGCCATATGGCTCTTTGAATCACCATCCACTGAAAAAGATTCGATAGAATATTTCCAGCACGATAGATATTTATTAGATATCCAGCATGATAGATATTTATAGTACCCTGGAAATATTCGACAGAATAAGAATATTACCCTTTTTATAATTAAATTAATTTTTTCATTGTCTTATTATTAATTATTATGTGTTATTATATCATATTATCTGCTCTTATGATTTTACGATATTGCAGGCACATAAATGATGAATACCGAGTTTTTTTATTCCAAATACATTTCGTTTTTCTTTTCTTTTCTTTAGAGTGCTCGATATTGAGAAACTTGCTTTAGGGAAATTCCTTTCTATCGAGCGGCTTAATTACGCGTCTAGGAATTACAAGCAGATAGAAATGAACAAAAATTTTTTTCTCTATTTTTGTTCACCGAAAAGTTTGATATCTTTCTTGTCACATTTGTTTACCACGCTATATTGACTACTAGTAGCCGATGAATGCTTTAGAAATGTATACATAACACAGGGAAAGCACTTTTCACCTAGCTTAAAAATTTATTGCAACATGTTTTATTATTAAAGGCATTTTCAGTTTCATTTTACTGCAGATAATCACAGCATAAAATGCTTCCTAAAAAGTCATACAGATTTTTTGATCAGGAGATCTCCAGGTCTCATTCCCGTTTGCTTCCCCGAATGCAGGTTCGATAATTTAACTTTTTTTTGTTACTTTCCGGTCTGAAGGAAGTGTTTCAAATCGCAAAACATACGTACAAGAATTTAATTTAACAGCAATCAGACGCGTGTTAAAACCGGTGTATTAGCCATGTTTTTGAATGTCCAGACAGTTCCAATTTTCTAATTTATAGTTCTTATTGAACAGTACATAACAATAACGTTAATTACATATCATAAAATGTAATATTTTCATTTTAGACTTTTTACAGTAAATTTCCTTTTTTTTTTAGAATGATTACTTACAGTCAGATCAATAATATTTCAAATCAGGGAAAGGACATTTTACGGTTACCTTTACATTGCTTTATTTAATTCTGGAAATTAATTTTCAGTTCTACAAGTAAAAAAGGAGCATAACTAAGCAGTTTAACCACTTTCACTTCAACATTAATATACTCATTACTTCGTAACTGATTCTTTAAGCGTAACACAATTCCTTGGCGATCGAATTAATTTATCTTAATTTATTAACATAGTTTTAGTATCCTGTCAATTATTGTCCTTTATTATTTGAAACTGTATTTAACAACCTTAATCAATTTATTTTCCAGAAATTTTTATTAATATATTACTTAGAAAAAATTCATAAATGCTGCTGCTTATATATTAAATATTCAATACTTTGCTAAAGATATTCGTTTTCCTCCCAAAATCACACGCTACCATAAGATAGAAACACAATCTTCACCAAATAAATTTTAATATAAACAACGTAAATCACTAAAAATTCGGCTAAATAATTTCTAAAAAACTGGCAGGCAGAACTTCTTTTTAAAAAAGAACAAGTTACATTTAAAAAACGTTTCTACGTATAAAATAAATTTCTAGCTAACCAAATTTTATATGTGCTAACGTATGAGAGAGATAACCATTAAAAGTTAATTTAAATATGAATAATTAATTATAAAATACGAAATCTACACATTTAATTCTAATTTAAATCATACATCTTCTTAAAATTACCCCTGACAGCAAAATGAAATACTAATATATTTTCCTACTTTCTTCTCGAAGCACATACACCTTTGTCATCTTACAATATTTATATTTTATAGACTTTTCTTATCAATTCTAACTGAACTCTGAAAACAGGTAAGGAGTTTTTCATGGTTCTTCCCCCCCCTCAGTTATAACTTTAAACAAATTGCAACGGAAACAGCAATAACTTAGTAACATAATAATAAAATAATTGAAAACTAAGGAACTACATAGTTATATACTTGCAGATCAGTCATTATTTAAGATATCCTAGCATGAAGTTTTAGTTGAAATTCTTAACACAATTTCTAAACAGTCACCGAAATATACACAGTTTCTAAACAGTCACCGAAATATAACTTTTTAACAGCCTAAAAAAATTTAATTAATATTATCTTTTGGGAAAGGGAAGGTGGGGGAGAAAAAGCAACAAATCGGCAAAATTATACTGTAAATTACCTAGAAAAAATTTTTAAATAATTTTATAAATTTATTTAAGTCTGCGGCAGAATACTTGAAATAATTTTTAAGTTCTTTATTTTATACCTACATGGAAAACTGAATGCTTTTAAAAAATTACTACTGTATGCTCAAAAATAACTACACTCTCGACCTTCTAACTTTAATGATATATTTGTTTTCATTAAATTTTTATTGCCAATGTGTTTTTGTCAAGCCTTATTGTCTATATTTCACCAAATCTCTTCTCAGAGCACCCAGATTAGCCAACTGACCCAAGTGAAGGTGGGAGGAAAACTTGCATTACATCAAAGTGATGAAGAATTTGCAATAAAGTGAAAAGATTAAGATATGCGGGGTCGAGGGTGATTAAAGACAGAGGAAGAAGCAAGTGTCCTACCATAGCAGCTTGTGAGGCGGCGGCATTCGCTCGGCTCTGGGCGGCCTTTAGCTGCGCCTGCAGGTGGGGCGTCGGATGGAAATAGCGGCACAAATCCCTCGAGCATCGACCCTTCACGAAATCCATGCACACTGTGACCATACCCTCCGCACTGTCCACGGTCACGTGGTCGGGAGGGTGGGCGAACCGGCACTCAGTTTCGGCACGTTTGCAGTTGCCCCGCTGGTATTCCCTGCACACCTGAGCAAAGCAAACAATAAAGCTTTAACCCCACATTAAACAACACAGCAGCCATCAAAATCAAAAATTCTTAGCTTAACTATTCCCCATTTATAAAGCGAAAGCTGAAGAAGCGGAATGTCAAGTTGCAAATGAAGAAAGAAAGTTTAGCTTATAAGCTAGCACAGTCAAACAGCATACGGACTTGCATATTAAAAGCGGATGTATATGTTTAAAAAAAAAAAAAAAAAAAAAAAAAAAAAGAGAGAAAAAAAAAAAAAAGAAAAAAAGAAAGAAAGAAAGTAAAAGGAAGAAGAAAAGGGGAAAACACAATTATATGCCAGTCGGAAAGGCGAAATTAAGATTGTGAAAATGTCGGAATTAAAATAATTTAACTGTGACTGATTAAAAAAATTAAAAAAGAATAGAAACAAAAAAGTTTGCGAAACTGCTCAATTAAGTTCAAATAACAACCACACAGAATCAGTGAATAACAACATTTATGTTTTTAATAATTAAATTAATTACCCATGACATTTTATCACAGCAAAAATAAACTTACATAAAACTTTTATTAATTTACAATGAACTGCCGCTGAACAACCACAGTAACAATAAAAATGTACTACATAAATGTCATTAATTAAATATAATATACTAAAAATTTTGATTCATGTATACGAAAAATTCTGTAAAAAAATGTAGGATTTTTATGTTTGCAAACAAAACAGAAAGACGTTATTATTATTATTTTAAATACTATTGCATGACAGCCAAGAACAGAAAAGAATATGATCGAAGATTTATGGAGAGCAAAGCACGAAACATTATCTTTGTACGCAAGGAAACTCCAAAGATTTAATGGTTGCAAGGAAGTAATTGTATTTGTATACAAATCTATGCTGGCGAACAGATATACTACGTAAATAAATATATAAATAAATAAAAACTTCCTACATAATTGAATCATACTAAAAAGCTTTCTGAGATTACTTCAAGAAAGTAGCCGTTAAGAGGGGGGGAAAAAAAAAGTCAGATGAGCTTCGCGTAGCAAAAATGTTGCTAGGTTAGTCATCACGGTGAATCTTTTCAGCACGTGCATAGCCTATCCATCTAATGATAAATAATGCTTTTGTGTCATTTACCTTCCTTAAAATACGCTTTAAAAGAAGCTCCGCACATAGTCTTTCCAGAAATATATAAGAAGAATGTTTTTCGGAGACTATGCTCTATTTCTTTGGAAACCAATTAAAACTTTTTGCCAGTCGGTGACATTTAAAATACTTGACAAAAGGCTGTGGCTCGTTTACCAAAATAATATAAAAACTAGAAAATGCAATCTTTTACTAATTTTAGCTTTAACGTCAACACAGTACAGAGCCCATTTGAATATTCTGGCAAGGAACGCTTCTTTGCAGACGTTCTTATTAATAGATAAGAGACAGACACTTATTGTTTTAAAATGCTAAACTCAAATTTTCTTCCGACAGTTTATTAATCGTTTTAAGTAACTGCTGATATACCTTCATACAGTCAATGACAATATAGATACTTCCATGATAAAATTTGTTTATATAATATTAAATGAATTTCCTTTTAAGTAATGACGTGCTTAAAGTTGAGTACTATCATTAACATGTCATGTTAAAAAGTAAGTATTGGATCTACGTAAATGCACTACTATATACACTCATTCAACAGCTATTGAAATTAACGAATTGAATTTTGTTCAAAAGTAATTTTCCGATTCCAAATTATGGTACAAAATTAATAAAAATAAGGCTGCGTAAAATTTGACAGATTTGTACGGATTTTGACTTAAAAGGCACCCCCCCCCGAGACAGTTCGCAGCCCTGGGCCCAACGTTCTTTCAAGAAACCCAAGCCTATTTTCCTCATTTTTATCAGGAAATAAAACAGAATTATCAACAGTTGCAGGTTGATTGCAAAGCCTCCTAAAATCTGGAGCCCTACGCTTGTGCCTTATATGTCTAGGCAGTAATCAGGCAAAATACGAATAGGAATCTTAATATGTTTTATTTCTGGCTCAATTAAAATGATTACCTTAATTATATGTAAAGTAATTAAAATTAACCAAATTTAGTTAAAAAATAAATTTTAAGAGGAATTTAAAGAAATAATTTTCAAACGCATTTTTATTCGACAGATTTACAACTTTAATTTTAATTTTAAATTTTAACTTCACATTTATCTCAGTACTTTACAAGCATCTAATTTTTAAAACCTTACACGTCTATCATAATTTCTAAAAGAACCTGACATAATATGGTTCAAGTACCAGTGCATAACATCGTTTTGAGATCGTAGACACAAACGCGATTTTACGTTTTCCTGTATTTATACAATGTCCTTTAAATAGCCATCTTCTTCAAAATGCACCTTTATTACTATTCCATTTAAATCTTATTAAAAATGAATTAAATTTTTTTTAAAAATAAATTCCTTCTTGTTTTCCAGTGCTTAATTATCGCAGCCTGAAAAGCTAGAGCAGTCGAAAATAATTATAACACCAAAGCCTAATTTTTTTAATAATGATGAAAATCGAGATTTAAATTTTCAGAGACGCTTTGTCATAAAAATCTAAAATTATTCAATAAAATTAAAAATAATTATTATAAAAGAGAGAAAAAATTTAAATAGATATCTCCTGTACAGGCACTGACTAAAAATTAGTAATAATGAATAATGCCTTCTAATTTTTTAAGGTTTAATTCGAATAAAGAAAAATAATTATAATACATTATAACTCAAGACATCTAATGACAATGTTGTAATTTATAGAAATACATAATACCTTATCTTATTTTTTTAAGGGAAGAGACTAATATTTAATATATTATCTTTACGACATCGTATCACTGCACATTATATTCAAATAGTAATCTAATTAGGTGGAGCAATTGCATAGTCCTTTCCAAATAATCGGAAAATTTGGCTAGCTGGATTTTTGTTTCTGTACGTGAAATACTTATTTACTGTAAAGTAAGTGACGAAATGTTATATTTCCGCTGTTCGTACTTTAGTTCAACAAAGACTGTACCATTAAAAAGATTAAAATATGTTTATTTCTGTTAAACAAATTTCAAAACAGACTTACTTTTGCAAAAATCAAATAATGAAATTATTTTTTTATTCACCTAAGCATACATATTGTTTCCATTTCAACTAAAAACATACTTTTATTCACATGCGGCTTAAGACTCGGCACAAAATTTCGTTTTAAATTTCCATGCATTAAGAGCAAAAAATATTTTTTATTTGTGTAAAACAGAATCCATAAATTATTTTTACTGAACTAAAATTAAATTAAGATTTCATTTATTTGTGTAAATTAATAATATTTTAAATTGTAGGATCTGGTCTTCTTCGGGAGCAGACCAGACCTCTAAAAAGACAATTAAGGAATTATCCCTATTTTTATTAAATCAAATAAAGTTTAACAGATGGTACCACCTCGCGCTTACAGAAGCAAGCACTTCTGGCTTTAAATCAAAGATAATGGATAAATTAAAGTTAAGGAACTTTAAGTTTACCCTAACGGCTTCACAGTTTAACTAGCGGGCAAGTTGGCTCTGATCGATGTCAGCGTAAACAAGCCCAATGGGAAGAATAACTCAACGCCGCAGAATTCTAATCGCTAGAGAATAAAAGTTAACAACGTGGCCTTAAAGCAGGCACAGCACGCTCTCACCCTCCAAAACCTTCATTTAAGTACTTCCTTCTTTCTACCTAGTTTGGATATCGTGCGTGCTGGATATTTAAATTCTGGCAGGGAAATGAAACGAGGTTTGATACAAAAGTAATTTCACTTCAAATAATGGATACAGAAATTAAAATGAACCTTTATAAATATATATGTAGCTATACATATAAAGAAAACTTGCTACGGCTTAACAGTGATTTACGCAATAGCATACTATTTGTCAAATACACAGCATGTTATTTAAAATCTAAAAATTTGCCAAATGTTACGCAGTGATACGTCAAGGATAAACGATACGTTATTAATACGCGATATTGATTTAAATGACATTAATGAGCCACATGTCTGTTGGCTAGCAATAAATTATTTTTTATTAAATAATTACAATTAATTATTTTCTATAGTAAGTCAGTAGTCATGTCATATTACACGGGCTGCTAAATTTCATGTGGTTAGGAGCCGCATGTTGGAACTCGGGGAAAATTGAACAGCCGCAAGTAGATTTACCAACTAGATATTTATATTAATAAAAGAGTCCTTGAATAGAAAGAATGTTTTCATAAATTTAATACTGATATTGCATTTTAAAATTATTGTGACTATTAGTATAAATATGAATAAATAACTATTGTTTCATTTGCGCTGCATTCAGGAAAGTACATGTTTACGAGCCATAAATTTTAAAATTTAGCACTTTATACTAAACATTTTTCTTTTCAGACAGAAAACATAGCGTTTTTTTCCTAGTTAAAAAAGAGAAAGAGAGAGAAAGAAATCTGACTGTAATTAGAATTATCAGCTGATATTAACGTACTACTGAAAAAAGAAAGAAGCTGTAACTGAAGACTTTCAGCTGTAAACTGGTAATGAAAGATCTAGCTTTTTTCACTATAACGTAAAACAGTATTTCATTCCAATAAAAAAACAATGTAGTGATTGAAAAACAGAACTAAAGATTTTCTTTACACCTAATTTTATAACAAGTGAGACAAGGCTAGTTCTGCGGAGAAACTGAAAATTTAATATACGAAAACTTTTTAAAATAAGTAATCAACTTGGTACAATTTACACATCACAATAACTTAAACTTTTTAACAGTCGGAATTACCGACTGTTAAAAAAGCATGTCGTAGCACGCCTTCTGTTTCAAGCTGAAATAACACTTCAGTAATGAAATTATTGTTTAACATGATAAGAGCCAAGTCGCATTTAAGAAAACAAGCACAGGCAGTTTGACCGTCATATACACCTAAATTAATTTCAATAGTTTTTTAAAAACATGTATTAAACTATTTTGT